CCCGCGGGCTCAGGCAATCCACTCACCTCAGCCTCCCAAAGGTGCGGGATTACAGGCTGAGCCACCGAGCCCAGTTTCATTCCTATTTTAAATGCATTTGTATACACTGTTTTACTTTAGAAATACAGAGATGAATTAATAATGTATAACTGGGCCGGGCGTGGTGGCTCATGCCTATAATCCTAGCACTTTGGGAGGCCGAAGTGAGAGGATTGCCTGAGCCCATGGGTTCGAGACCAGCCTGGGCAACTTGGCAAGACTTCATCTCTACAATAAATCAAAAAGTTAACCGGGTGTGGTGGCATGTGCCTGTAGTTCCAGCTACTTGGAAGGCTGAGGTGGAAGCACCGCTTGAGCCCAGCAGGTTAAGCTGCAGTGGCCATGAGTGTGTCACTGCACTCTAGCCTGGGCAACAGGGTGAGACTCCAACTCAAAAAATATATATATAGCTGAACAAACTTTCTAGTAAGGCAAACATTTCATTCTCTCATTGATCTACTTAGTTACCATATAGTACTTGCAAAACCTGAGGCAAAACTTTACTCAAGTGGCCAGTATTAACATAAATATCTTATAAGCTCTCTAACCTTGAGTGAAGTTTTTTTCAAACCTTTCTGAGTCCCAGTTCCCCCGCCTCTAAGATTGAAATAATAGCTAATGGGGGGCTTTTATGATTAAATGAAGTAGTGATTGTAAAGAGCCTGGTGCGCAGTGTAGGCTTCCTGAACTTAGTGTACTTCCCAAAGTACCTAACTCAATCAAATGCAATTGCCTTTCTTGTCTGTTTTTCTAGCTAATAGCTATAGTTGTTTCCCCTATAATTCTTGGGAACAGAGCCTTCCTTTTTGTGTCCTAACTATGAATGTTTTAATTCGAAAGAAAGTTTCCTGCTCCCTCAATCTTTCAGACCTGCTTGTGTCAAGGAAATAGAGTATCTAGGTTCTGAATATCTGGCATTCACATTTTAAAGGCTAAATTATTATGTCCTTCTCTCATATTTCCCAGTATATATATTATGACTTTTGTTTTGTTTTGTTTTGTTTTTTAGTCGGAATCTCACTCTGTCGCCTAGGCTGCAGTGCAGTGGCACACTCACGGTGACTGCAGCCTCGACCTGCTGAGCTCGGGTGATCCTTCTGCCTCAGCCTTCCAAGTAGCTGAAACTACACGAACATACCACCATGCCCAGCTAATTTTTTGATTTATTGTAGAGATGAGGTCTCGCCAAGTTGCCCAGGCTGGTTTTGAACCCCTGGGCTCAGGCAATCCTCTCGCCTCTGCCTCCCAAAGTGCTGGGATTATAGGCATGAGTCATCATGTCTGGCCTATATTATGCCTGTTTTTAAAAAGTATAGCTTTACCTGAGATATTTGTGAAATATAATTAAATTGGCTGAGCTTAGTAGCTCAGCCTCTAATCCCAGCACTTTGGGAGGCCAAGGCAAGTAGATTGCCAAAGCTTGAGCATTCGAGGTCAGACCGGGCAACTTGGCAAGACCTCGTCTCTATAATAAATCAAAAAATTAGTTGGGTGTGGTAGCGCGTGCCTGTAGTTCCAGCCACTTGGAAGGCTGAGGCAGAAGAATCGCCTGAGCCCAGCAAGTCGATGCTGGGGTGGTCGTGAGTGTGCCACTCCACTCCAGCCTGGGCAACAGAGTGAGACTCCAACTCAAAAATATATATATATAATTAAATTAATTTGTTCTGGAGCATTTGAAAAAAATCTGATCACCATTAACTGTTTTCTAAACAGTAGTTACTGGTTTTAATAAAGACTTCTTTATAGTTTTAATACATTTTTCTATGTGGCAGCTCTAGGGAGAAGACAATGAAAAACTGTGTGACAGACGAGAGCTCTGCATCAAAAGTCAATGCTGATGTTGACAGTAGGATTGAAATGGGTATGCTTTCTCTCTGTAATCATAAAATGATTAAAACATTAGTTGCCTCAACTGTCATAGCCAATCTTGGGTAGGAGGAAGACAAAATAGTTGACAAAGAACAGATTTGAAGCAAACACAAGATTTTCTGGCTGTATTTTTCTTCTTCCTTTTCCTAGCCAGGAGGACCTTACTGGACAGGCCTCAGAGCCCATCAAAGCACAAGCTGTACTCAAAGAGTTCAATTTCATTTATATCACTTTACATCATTAGTACACCCAGAAAATTACATCACCCATCTTGGTCAGCCCCTGGGCATTGCTAAGGTGATTGATTTCATTAGTCAGAGACTTGTGACTCATCTACATCCGTGTAGCCCATACCCTGGCCTGGCCCTCCCGGGATCCCCCACTAAGAACATTTTCAGCTGCAGAATCTCTTGTTTTGGGGCTATATTCCTGCAAATACAGTTAGTAAGCCAATATTATTAAAGTGGTTATGCCACATGAATGGTCATGCCACAGCCTAGGAGAAAGCTTTCTACAGAGAAATGGCATCATGTATCCTTGTGAGTTAGCCTGACACTATCAGATAAATCAGATGACCTTTTGCTTGAGAAAACTTTCTTCTGTCTCAAAGTCTCTGTCTCTTTGAAAAATCTACTGAATTATACACAAACCCTAAAAATCAATTCCTAAAATTCCAAGCCGGGATCAGTGGCTCAACCTATAATCCCAGCACTTTGGGAGGCTGAGGTGAGTGGATTGCCTGAGCCCGCGGGTTCAAGACCCGCCTGTGCAACTTGACGAGACCTCATCTCTACAATAAATCAAAAATTAGCCAGGCGTGGTAGCGCGCGCCTGTAGTTCCAGCTACTTGGAAGGCTAAGGCGTAAGGATTGCTGGAGCCCAGCAGGTCGAGGCTGCAGTGACTGGGAGTGGCCACTGCACTCCAGTCTGAGTGACAGAGTGAGACTCCAACTCAAAAAAAAAATTAAAAAATAAAATAAAATAAAATAAAATTCCAGCAATAACTTTGTAGTTTAGACATTAAGCATTTTCAGTTTACAACATATAGTATTTTATTATCCTGACTTCTTATCTATCCATGTGGACACTTTTTTTTTTTTTTTTTGAGTTGGAGTTTTTTTTTGAGTTGGAGATTTATTGTAGAGATGAGGTCTTGCCAAGTTGCCCCGGGTGGGTCTCGAACCCGCGGACTCAGGCAATCCACTCACCTCGACCTCCCAAAGTGCTGGGATTGCAGGCTGAGCTACCGAGCCCGGCCATTTCATT